GATGTGAATTCAAGGTGAATTTAACTTGGGAATAGTTTGCTTTTACGCATTGCCTTGCTATGACAGGCAATTTACAACTCCCGTTATAATTAGCTATTTTGATTAGCTACTTTTGTCGCGTTGAGGTAGAAAAAAAAACTTTTTTAAAGCAACACAGGCCTCAAGAGAAAGGAAGGTCAAATGTATAATAATAATAATAATAATAATAATAATAATAATAATAATAATAACTTTTTCTTACCCAACATTTTGCTGAGCTCTGCATTGTGCAGGTCTGGGTTTTGAACCGCCAGCCGTTTGCGCTCGTCTTTGGCCCAGACCATGAACGCGTTCATGGGCCGCCTGATCCGCGGCTCCGGCGTCTTGTCCACGGGGGTCCTGTGCGAGACATGCGCGTCAGGGACATCTCCGTCTCCCGGAGGACAGTCGAAGGACTCCGGCCACGACGAGTACGCGCTGATGAGAGCAGCCATCTGAAGCGCGCTCTCTCCTCTCCAAACTTAAGAAGCGCGTCTGAGACTCTTAACGAAGTTGTGCGCTTTCTTTCTGTCTGTCTGCCTGCCGCCTGACTTAAAGCTGTGAAAAACTACAAAAAATAAAAAACAAAACAAAACAAAACAAGACAGACTTTTCACATTAAATTATTCCTGTGTTGCTTCAAGCTCTAGCTCAACCTGAATGCCTGAACAGATTTCAGGAGAACGCACAGATGCGCACATACAGCTGCTCCTCCATGTGGGTTATGATTCGGTCTTTCCTGCTGGATGGGGGAAGGCTTTATATTTGAGGAGCAGGTTCCAGGAGAAATCCCCGCAGGACTCTCGACTCCTCCTTGATTGCAAGTTAAACCCTGTGGAAGGGGAAGGGATAGGGTGCAACATTTCAACACAAGTAACTCCTTAAACTTGCCCGACAACACAACAGCTCTCGTCATTAACACAAATATTAATTAAACTAACAGGAGAACTCATAACATTAGATCCACATGGTTATTTCAAGCTCCCTAGTTTGTTTGTTTTTTTGTTTTTTTTAAAAAAGCTGCTGTTGAATTCACATTGAACTCAGAAAAAATATATATATTTTTGTTTTACTTATTTATTTTTGGAACTTTATCTTTTCTGGTCTTCATGGAATACCTTGCATGACCAACTTGCCAAACGTGTTTTGTAGACTTCTCATCTTTCAGAAAACTTCAAGTTGTTAAGTTAAGTGACATTTTGAGATTTCCACTGCACTTTATGCCTCAGGTTTTCCAGGTTTTTTTTTGTTTGTTTGTTTTGAGTGTGCAAAAAGAGATGCAAAACAAAGTACATAAAATGGGAGGTTCTTCTCATTTTTACAGGATTCGAAAATGTAAGAGTTTTGGACTTAACCAATCAACATTAAAGATTATTAAAGATTCAAAATGATTTTCCTCTGAGCCACATTTCTGAGCTGAGCAAATAAATAAAACCACGGAGCGCACACTGACTAATCAGTTTCCTTCTGTGGTCAACAGCGGGGGCATATCAAATCCAGGAGTTCCTGTTGACAGGATACTCTCAGCCTGCAGTGGTGGAGGAGCTCACACTCCCACACACACACACACACACTCGCTCTCATTGCTCAAAACACAGCTACCAACACCATCAGGTTGCAAATGATCATATCGGTAATTAATCTTTGGAGATGGGAGAAACCTGACCCATTACAGATTACAAAGGCACGTTGAAGTTCACATGCAGCTCAGGTTGGAATTCATGTCTTGCAGGGAGTCGTGCTGCTCTTTACTTGTCAAAGCAAGCTGTCAGTTTTAGTTTACTTCCCACAGGAAAAGGATATGGCACCTGAAGCCACAGATTGTGCCCGATGCAGGCACATCAGTGATATATAGAGCCACACTTCCTCGCCCTGTTCTGGCTTGGACCATGCCGCTGTGTTACCAGTGAAAGTCAGAGAGTGAAGTTAAGGTGAGTTTAAGTATGGGGCGCAGCTAATGGGAGATAAAATGCTTTTGTGGCTTAAATGCTAAATTATAAACTCAGAGACAGGGAGTCCTGAAATGACAAGTGCCTCCAAGTTTTACACATTGTTGCTGGGCAGTTGAGGCATCTCAACTATACTGACGACAGAGGTTATCTCAATATGCTGTAATAGCAAAAAAACAAAAAAAAAACATGTATAATTGGAAATAGATTTTCTTTTTTTAAATTGTAAAATAACAGGTTTGCTCATTATCGTAGAAAATATATAATATATAGAGAAATAATAAAATGTTCTAAATGTTTTTTTTAAGAGCTTTACGAAATGCTGACAAAGTTCTTAATATAATAAGATCTTAAAAACACCAAGCAACAAATGCACCAATCTTTGAATTTTGACTTTTCATCTCTGCTCGGCTGGAAAGCTGGATTTTATAATTTAGATAAAATGAACTTTGGCCAAGAAAGAATTTTCTCAGCAATAACTTGTTCTTTATTCTCTAGGGTACTTTTGTATCATCCCATTTGTATTAAGCCCATCTGCCCCTGATTTGGACTGACACAAATGATGATTATTCACCTTATTTTATTTTTCATTAAAATAGGTCGGATGTCTTTGTAAAATTTGTTAACAAATGCAAGTGAAGGTGAAATCTCACCTTTTTACTTTATTCTTTAACTCATGAGCCACATGACTTGATGCAGCTCCAGTGTTGTCTAATAAAAGTCTCACTTTAGTTTGGCTCACCAGATCCTCATAATAGGTTGTGGTCCTGGAAGCTCCCGTCATGATGCGATCAAAGATTTAGTTAATCTAAAAATGAGTGTGTGAACCACTTCTTTTCATTTGTACACTAAATTTGTCTGATTAAAGCTCTGGAGGATATCATTTTTGTAAGTAAATAAAGAATTTTAAGACGACCAAACCTGAAACGAGACCAGAGCTGCTCTCCCATCTTAAATGAAGTAATGTTACGATCTCTACCCAGATGTGAGTCGAAAAGGGAAGTGCATATCTGTTAAAGTGTCAGACCCAAAACGGCATCTTTCCTCTTTAAAGAGGGGATTCCTGTGCAAATACTGGTGGATTCTCTATTGGTTCAAAATCCAATTTTCCGACTTTATCTTCCCCTCTTACATTAAAATAGAAAAAAAAAATACAGAAATAGCTAATCATAATAATTTCCTTTGAATTCTAAGAGCAGAAGACATTGTTGATACATTTAATGAAATCTTTAAACAGGTTCAAAAAAGAGCACTTGTATTTTTGATTAAATCTTCTTTAATAAGTTGTCTGAAGCCTAAGCAGAATTGTCTCAGATTGAGTAGAAATTAATTAGTTCATAATGGACATGAATACATCTCAATACATCTGTTAAATTTGATGCATTTTAAGAACTGAAACATGCAGGAAACCTCAGCGTCTTTGTAAATCATCATTCAGCTTAGAATATGTGGATGAATAACAAAAATATATTTGATTTTTTTTTTAAATAAGCAATGAGACTGGTTTCTAGGTGTTTACCTAGAAATTATTTTCTGATATAAACTTTTTTTTTTTTTCCTGTAACAGTGAGGATAAAAAACAGTGATTGGGGAATCAGGGGTACTGGAAAAAGCAGAAAGGCAGTTCTAAAGATTCCTGTTTATAGTTTGTCATAGTATCACACTTCTTGAAGTCAGTCAGAAGGTTTTGTGAAAATGGCTTGAGACTGTTAAACACACATTCTGGTAAAGATTTCAAGCTGAGATTACTGGCCAAGGCTTGTGTGAAAAACAAAACAGCAAAACATGGAAGAAGACAATGGGTGCTTTGCGTGTTACAACTTTGCTACCTTTCAAACAAAGATACTCATCACGAAAATTACAAACCTGGACATAACTAATGCATTTTGTGAAGAAATGTGATGCAAGTGGTGTCAAAACTCAAGTCTGGGCCTTATGGCTCTGGATCAACATCAAAACCTGAAAGACACGTCTAACACGACTGACGAGATATAAGGCTATGTAGGTAATTTCTTTGAAAGAGATGTAAAAAGACATAAATTAATATAATAGCCAGAACTGAACACATGGGAGAAAGAAAGAGCGACAGATTCTACCAAGAGACAAGTGCAAAAAGGTATTAGATAAACAGAAGACAGGAAATTAATGCATTTACTTTTAATCCCCATCAATGTGATATTCCTATGCAAACTTCGCGAGACCAACTGGCTTCAGAAGTCCTGAAATTAACGCCCAGTCCATGTCTGTGTGTTCAACTGTTCTGTGAAGGCCTCAGAGGTTTGTCAAAGAACATTAGTGAACAGTATAATGAAGACAGAGTTGCAGCTGTAATCAGAGCATAGCAAAATGTTGGTTCTACAAAATATTGGTTCAGAAAGGCTAAAAGCACTAAGCAAGTAGACAATCCTTTTGAGACTTTTAAGAAAAAAAAAAACTGGGATTCTCTGCAAGGAACCATAAACCAGGGAATATCTGACTACTAATTTTTTGTAAAGATTTGTCATATTTCCTTCTAAGCTAGAGGGTGCAACAAGATTTAGCTGATTGTAGCAGGAAATGGAAAGAGAACGGAGTAAGAATTAGCACATCCGACGTGCCTACAAAGTTAGTCAACCTTTTCTTTTGTCCAGGAAATACAAAACACACATTCAGATCATTTCAACACAGACGAACCCAAGATGGAGACAAAGAATGCTACAACGTTTTCACACGCAACACTGGACACCACCGGCATCTTCTTTTCCTCATCCCACACAGGAGTTGGAACAAGGCGGGTTTGTCTGAGTTTGTGAAGTCAAACCAACCGGAATATCCTGCGTCACATCTTTAAGGTGAATGGTGACCGTCAGCCAAATCATCTGTGACAAAATACACACCCGAGTACTTCCATTGATTTTTTTTAACGTGATCCCTACAGTTTATAAACTTATGCTTTCAACTTCCACAATGGGATATTGTTTTCTCTTTCTACAGGAGTCATGCTATTCATAAATGTATCTAATTTCAGGCCATAAAATACAAGCAGAGTCAAAATGTGTGTGACCATATTTATTTAGAAAAATTTCGACATTTCAAAGAATGGCTCGTTTTAAAAGGCGCATCATGCCAAAGCATCAGATGTATCACATTGCTCACCACTTTCCTTTCAGTTTTTGAAACAAGTGATAAACTGCGAGACATGGAGAATATGGAGTTTTGTACATAAATAATAATGCATGCAAATAGTAAAAGAATAAATGTGAAAACAGCTTCTTTCCCCCCTGAATCATATTTAATGAGGAGATACAAGTTTCAGGAAGAGCTCATTTAAGCCAGATGCTAAACATCTCATGTTAATGTGCCTTAACAGTTTATTCATTTGTTGTTCATGTGCTAGAGATTTCATTTGGTCACAAATATATTTAAAAAGGTGGGAATTAGGACAAGTGTACAAGTGAAGTAAAACATTTTTGGAAGGTGGACAAATTTAACCAAAACCTAAACTCCACCTTAGTCTTGATTTTCTCTCTTCCTTTTCTTCTTCTTGGATTTTTTAGTAACCAGTTCCTCCTCACACTCCTTTGCTCCATCGTGGGCCTCCTCGCCCTCATGAACATTTATAAGCTGCTTCTCTATGTGTTTAGGTTTTTTCTTCTTGGAGAGACTTGGTCTTTCACAGTTCATCTCCGCAACACAGGCAGAGCTAGAGTTTTCATTTTCATCAATGATTTCTGCAGTCTTCCTCTTCTTTTTCTTTCTTGAACACGCTTTCTCCTCGTTTTCTTTTTCTTCTAGTACGATTGGGACACTGCACTTCTCTTCTACATCCACTAGCTCCTCTTTTAGCTTTTTGTTCTTATTTTTCTTGGGCTTTTCAGCATCATTGTTGCTGCTACGGACTGGACTGAGCTCCTCAGTGGGGCTTGATGTTTCGGTAGTCTCCGCTTTGACAGAAGATGCTGAACCTTCAGAGCCACGAGGCTTCTTCAACTGTGCCATGCGCTGCGCAAAATACTCCTGCATGCTCAGAGAACTTGTCACAGTCTTGGTTATTGACTCAGTATCAAGTTCAGAAGAAGCCTTAGTCCCACTTTCCTCTGATTCGACTGGAGACTCGCTCCTGCTCCTCCCCTACACCACAAAGACACAAATAAGAAGAGAGTTATTTAGAGAATCTGCACATCCAGACCTGGTACACCATTTTGAACAAAGGAGCTTAAGTGATTGTCAATCATCACACTAAGATTACTCCAAAGATGTAAAGTGAGAGACAAACCCAAAGAAGGATGTTGAAGCAACAATAGGTGTTAGAACCTTAAAATAAGCACAGTTAACAAAAGAGTCACATTTTTTATTTTTTCATCGTTCCTGACATCCAGCTGGGTTTGTTCGCAGTCAGCTCCAAGCTGTCGTCCCTCTGTAACAGCTCCATATTTAGTGGTGAGGAGCTGTTATAGAGATACAAGTTGTAGCTGAACTGTGACTGTCAAATTAAAATGAAACCAGATCTGCTGTTTGTGTTGGCTTACCACCAGAGCAAGAAAAGAGACGAAAACCGGGGCTGGCAATCAACCTAATCCAACATGTGAACATTCTTAGGAAAGTCATCCCTCATTCCACAGAAATGTTTCAGAATTTTAAATTCGACTTAATTTTCCTAAGAGGGCACATGCATCAAAAGAGAAGTTACTTAGTTAACAAAATAAAATAATTCAGAGTATTTTTCAGTGTAAAAGTGTGGTTCCTCTGAATAAAGTTGCAAAAGGCTTTTTACAACCTAGACTGGGAAAAACCAGTGCCTTGTTCTATGCTTTGCTTCAGACAAAAGGTCTAGACTCTTATTGAGAAAGGATTGCTTGCTGGAGGCATGAACTCTGTTGAAGTTTTACATGATTGGATCTGTTTTTACATTCTTAGCCATCTTTTTAACTTTTAACTTCTTCATACTAAATCATTGGCATAAAGTTGTGGGATCGAAATTTAGTTTTCAGGACAAACTAAATGGTGACCCCAAATGTATGGTTATGTACTTTATGACCATAAACATCTGTGTTAAAGGGATCAACGATTGTTGCATTTATTTCAGATGTAAAAAAAATAAATAATAAAAAAAAACAGCACAGCAAAAATACTGTAAGCTGTTTAGTTTTTATGAATTTATACACACATAGCATGCAGTGATCTTCTGTTCTATATTTAGGAGAAAACTGAGTCCGATTATAAATCCTCGCTGCAGCCTTTAGGTTCGGCATTAAACGGGGCCTATTTTAAAACTGTTAGGCACAACGTGGTCCAGATTTTACCTCCACAGCATGTACAATTTGTCACCTCGCCCCTATCACCCATTTGTCTTCATTTTCCTAATGGTCTACTCAATGCATAATGATTTGTCGTGAAGAATACAGAAGCTCCTCTGGAGAGTCGCACTAAACAATGCGGCCGCTGCTAAGATGGTGAAGTGCATGGCATTTTTCACACCACACAGATTAACTGAAAACACTGAGTTGTATGCCAACGTATCATTGTTTGGTTTTAAAGCCTTTATGTTCAATTACAGTTAGAGATAGACATGATGGCTAAAGTTATGCAAATCTACAGTCAAATGCAGAGCCAAGTTGAGAGATGTACATGAAGCTCTCTTGTTAAGTCCCTTCATCAAAAAATTGTAATGTAATGAAGATATAAATAATGATTTGTCCAGAATGCTTCTCAAATAAATCCAAGAAAGCTTATAATTATCAACAAGATTAATAGTTCCCAATAACTTCAGTGAGAGTGCAGACCTTAAAAACAGAAAAAAAGTGGTTTCTAATGTAGGTGAACCCAACACGAAAGCTAAAGAAAGTTTTCCACCATCTAGGACCTTGTCCAGATATAACCACAACTTCTAACAAGGGGAATATAAAGCCCTTCAGGTGAGGTGCCATTAAACAAAACTTTCCAGCTTCCCACTAAAAATCTATACTCCCAGTTACTGCACAATGGCGTCCTCTCTGCTTGGGAGAGTGAAGATGAGGCTTAGAGCTGACAGCGCCAAACAGCATGTAACTGGGATTTGGGAAGATGGCTGGGGGCCACTTTAGAGCTGCCTGTGAAATTACTCTCAGGAGAGGGACAGGCTGAATGAGCAAAGGGAAGAAAGAGGGGAGAGTGACTGAGAGAAACATCATCATCAGGGAAAGGTGGCTTGAGCTTGGTGCGTGGTTCTTCCTTCACTGCCTGGGGATTCCATTAGACTCTGATACGACAGCAGGTAGAAGTGCTGTGCACAGGCTGGACAAACACACACAGAGTGAATGTAAACATACTGATCCAGTCAGCATTACTGGCAGCCCTGGAGATTTTTTTTTTTTTAGCATGAACTATTGGGGGTGACAGGGTAATAGGAAAGTACTTGGCAGCAACGTTAGAGGGGTTTCTCCATTTTCAGTTGTGTCTTTCGCTCAAACTTGTTAGTCATATAATCCTTTGCAATGTCATAGTCTTGTATCCAGCAAACAGAAAGCATTACCAGACTCATTTGTGTTTCTAGCTTGTATTTTTAAAACAAAAGTATCATAAAGAGTATGGAAATTGGTGTTTGATGTGCTTCTGCTATGTAGTAACAATGCTTCTTGCCAACAGATCTCAGACTGCTGGAAAGTAAAAATATTTTCCATTTCTCAAATTTATTTGTGGTTTAAGCAATAGTGATTTTGTGGGTTGTCCTCATTAAAAACTTCTCTACAAATGCCTTATTTAGGTATCGACTCCCGTTTAGTGCTGTTGAATGGATTGCATAACTGAGGTTTGAAGAATTTAAAAGAAATTTAACAACTTATTCATTGTATCTATGATGCATGGAAAAATCACACTCCGCCAGAACTGCCTGGCAGCTCTTCCTCATCCTCACACATTGGTTGGGGATTGCAAGCCATTCTTCAACCAGCATTTACCACAAATCCACTGACGTGGTTGTGCTGGTCACTTTGGCATGAACAACATACCAAGGCTGATCCCACATGAGTCTTAGGTAAGGACTGCAAGCAGATCACTCCATCCTCTCAATTGCCAAATTGTGGAGGTAGTCTCTGATAAACCCCTTCCTGTGGGGAGCAAGTGTTGACATCTTGAAAGGTCAGCCTTTTCATCACCAGAGTTTTTTGGTATTGGCAGAAATGATTTAGCAAGGTCTTTAGAGGCGCAACGCAACCAATCTACTCAACTCAACCCACTGTGTATTTTCCTAACGACTGTGGCACCATTTAAGGGGAATTAAACAGGGAAGTCACACACATACAGATTCTATATGTATTTTTTCCACGTACCTGACCCACTACTTGTTACTAATCCAAGTACTCACTTTAGTAGACAAATCAAATTTGGACAGCCGTACTGACCTATGCACATCCTTTCAAAGTTGCAGTTACATTAACAGATGTGGGGGGAAAAAGCAGCATATTAATCTGAAATCTGCACAAATTCTTATACTTTTTTAAATAAAAAGAAAACTGCTCAAAATTATTTGAATAAAATTTTGTCATGGTTTATGTGAAATATGTTAATACTTAATGTAATACCTAAATAAATTATGCATATTTGACTCTGCAGATTATTCTCCAGCTGAAGCAGAGCATTTGGGGTGACGGAAAACATGACATAAGAGAGTAAAAATGCATATCATCATGGCTAAAGGTAAGAATTGCTAGAGTTTATACATCTAGAGAAAATGTATTCAAGATGTCAACACTTTTCATACCTACAACCAAAAGACTGGGTTTTGAACCTATGGGCATTAAAAATGTTTATAGACATAAACTCAATGAAATGAATGACAAACTGTATATTTTAATTCAACTGAATATTTAAGTCGAAAAATAATATAAAAACCTGATAACTTCATCAATTCCAAGTGGGTTAAACATAGTAGATAAATAAATATTGAAAACATGTTTTTGATCTTTTAAAAAATATTAAAACATTTATAACAAAAATCACAGCAATGGTTACTGTCTAGTCATTTCAAGCCAAAAAAACAAATGGAGAGAAATTATCCATGGGTTGCTGTGAATTGATATTTTGATCTGGAACTTTGATTCTATCTTCATCTTCTAAGGTTAAAAAAAATGAAGCTGACAACTTTAAGCATACAAGCTAATTTGACTAAGCTGTTGCAGAAAAAAAGCACTTGTGAATGCATTATGAGAATAGAGGTTTTCTTCATGTTCTGTATTGTTTTGTGAAAATACACAATTTTAAATGTCTTATATTTTATTAACTTTGCAAAAGTCTGTCCAGCTTCTTGCTAAATTTAGGAAGAATGGCAAAAATGGCAGAGTTGAGTAGCAGAGGGTTGGAGAACACACCTCTTATCAAGCCGTGTGTACTTCTCCTCCCACACCATCTACTTCTCTCCACCCAGACGCAGAACCCCAGGAAAAGGATGCGCTCAATGCACTGTGTGCAGCTCTGAGATAAGGCTCCTTCAGCAGAGGAGCGGTCTGGCTGGCTATCGGGCCCTTCCTGATCCACTCACTCCCCTGGCGGGGGATAGGGTTGGGCAGGGAACACAGGGAGGGGTCCACAGAGGGTCCCGAAGAAAAGGAGAGGTTGGGAAGACATTCAACAGGACGCCTCCTTCAAGACACTCCAGTTCAATCTCTTCCCCGCTAATGTAACCAATGGAAAGCCAATGGCAAAGAATGTGCCAAGGTGCCAAAATAGAATGGCCAATATATTCAGAGGGGAAGTCAATCAAGCCAGGAAAAATGAAGAAGGTGGTTCACTTTAGTGCATGAGAAACTTTTCTTTCCAGTGAGTCCTAGAATAAATAAATAAATAAAAAATCCTACAATATTATTAAATTTATTTCTAATAACCTGGGTTTTTTTTTTTTTTTTTGCAAAGGAAGCAATCCTACTTTTCGCTGATTGTGGGCTAAAGAGTGCAAAAATCTAAGCCAGCATTTTTTTTTGTTTTTACAATACAAGATCTGTTACCTTGTATGCCATTGATTTCAACGTTATTACAGCAAAAAGAGTGCAATGTATGCAATGTAGCCGAGTAAGGATGCATAATATCACCTGACATATTTAAAATAAAAAGCTGAGCAAGAATGCTTTGAAATGAAGACGGGTATTAACATTTTTTAA